GTAATAATGGATTTGACTGTTAATCAACTAAAAAAAAATTCATTCTATTTTTTTTTACCTGTTTTGACCTCATTGTCGTCTGTAGTTGTAAATATGACGTAATCAATCGTAGTAAACTGTTTCGCACGTTGTGCGCAGTCGCGGACCAAATCTCGCGAGATACGAGAGAAAAACAAAAAGGACATGACTCTAGGACCATAACGAATTATGGGCCTCCGACGATATCTTTACAAATATATACTAAAAGTAGAATACGCAGAGAAACTTGCACATAAAAGAGATCACAGTAAGTTTTCCTTCTTGCCAGAGGGTTGTTATAAATGTTGCAAAACAATTTTGATTAAATTGTTATTTGTTTTCCAAATTTTCAACCTTTCAATCAAACACTTTCTATGAGGGTACTCATCAGCATTCACCTAAATGACTTCATGAATTATAAAATAATTGGTCCATTAATAATACGAAGCAAAATTAGTAAAAAGCATTATTTAACATAATTTGCACACACGTGTGTATTTTCCTGTGCACTCACTAAACTGTATTTTTCTGCATTTTACAGAATTATAATACCAAGTTACATTTTACTGCATTATACCTAATTGCATTCACATCACTTTACGAATAATTAAGGAGGAGTCTGTTGGCTTTGTATGTGATCGTCATATGTCGGTCTTAAACAATGTGAGTATGTGCCATATAAAAGAAGCAGAAGAAGAAAAGGGTCAAAAGTAGCAGCAATAATAGTGGTAGCGAAGTCAGTCCGTATTGTACATATTTCAACGCCGAAGACAACACTTTGAGCAGTGATAACGAGTGCGATATAACATTAAATTTAATTCTATATGAGTCCAATATGGATCTTAATGACTGTACCAGAAGAAAAATTGACAATAATTGACATTATTATATGATTAAATAATTTCCATCTCTCTGACTGGCTGAGGTCCAACTATGTTTAAAAAATACTACGTTGTATTGACCTCCAGGTGAATACAATTGTTTATTTCCTCTGCATTGATCTAAAAATAGATAGGGAAATTCCAAATTGATACAAATTGTTTTGGAAGGCTATTTAAACGACTATGACTTTTTTTTCATGTGAACAAAACATAAGCAAATATATATTTTCAGGTGAAGGTGGTAAGAGGAGATGCAGGGACTCCCCTCCAACACTTTTACTAAACAACAATTTGTACTTTTTGGCAGTCAGTTTTCCTGACAATTTTTACTTTTTGGCAATCAGTTTTCCCTGATAATAATCCTTCTGTTCAAAATCTATCCTATAAAAAAGACTGACATTATATTCATTTCATGGCAACTAAAATTGATAAAAAAAACATTTTAAATTGATACGACTGGTAAGGTTTATTTACACTTTAATTCATCTTCTCTCTTGTATTTGGCTAGGACTTAATTAAATGCAACCAAGTAATGAGCTGTATAATTTTATTAGTGAATCACAGAAAAAACAATTATTGCTGTTTTATTTTCGGTCAATACAATGATTTAGCCATCTTCGAAGTACAATATTGTACAATATACAAAGCAAACACAGACCTTAAAAACATCAGAAGTGAGATAAGGTACCATTTAGGAGTGAGCGTCCCCTGACGACCGGTCAGACCCGCCATGTGCTCCTTGTCATGATCAGGAATTTAGATAATGGAAAATTCCGTCGTCAAATCAGTGTGTAAATGATGGCCTAACAATCAGCATGAATAATGTCAAGTAGCATTTGACTCAATGATAAAATTGTATTTGCTGACAAGGTCAGTACATCAATCACAGAACTTAGAAAATTTACCAAGTTTCAGAATTGGTCATGCGTAGAGCATGCTCCTAAGTATAGAATCTACTGAGAGATTTAAACGCCGTTTGCAGGTGAAGATATACTGTAAATGTATTACATTTAGCGTGTACAATATTTGGCGGAAATTGATTTTTGAAGAAGTTAGCGTAGATTTGAATCAGCGCATTTCTTAATGTTCTTATTAATGTATATATTTTAAAGACATTTAGCGTTGTACTGGAATAAGCGGAAGTTTCTTTCCGCCAAAAACGCTGAAAAGAATACACCGCCTCATGTTATACGTCTACAGTATTGCAGCATAGTAAGGACCGTATAGAACTTAAAATGATGACTTTAAATGATACTGCTGATATTCTTGTTTCAAAAATGTCTCAGAATCTGCAGTGACTTTTATTTTTAAAAAGCACATCGGGATATACATGTATCGGAAAAGAATGGTAATAACCATGATATTTCATGGACAAAACATAATCGATTATCTGCATGTAAATAACATTGTGAAATTTGTACATTCAATTTAGTTACTTTGAGATAATAGACGTACACAAATAAAGATATTGTGTTTACTCTTTACAATCGATAGTTTTGCTACATAGCGACATGTTAACCACAGAGTCTGACACATCTGTTTAATATTTAGATATATTACTTGAAAAAGACGTTATTGGTAATCTAACAACCAAGATTTATGATAAATGTGATGAACTATTTTTTCAATCGTCTACTTCCCTTATTATGCCTTCATCGCCTGCATATGGGATTTATATCTCTCAGTAGATTCAACATGCAAGAGTATGCTTTGCGTATGAACAATTTTTAAAGCAAGGTAAACTGTAAATCATTGACAAACAAGTTGAAGAAACAAGAATTTCAGCAGTCTCATTTAAAATCATCCTTTCGTAAGTTCTACGGTCAATACTAAAACCTTGTCAAAAAATACAATAAATCAATGAGTCAGATGCAGACTGAAGTTAGACCGTTATTTATACACTGAATTGTCGATGGATTTTCCCTTTATTTTTCAATCATGACAAGGAGCTCACAGCTAGTCTGACCAGTCGGAAGGGGATGCTCTCTTCTCCATGACACCTTATCCCACCTTTGAGGCCCATGTTTGCGATGTTCCTAGTTTGTTACGTTTAAAACAAAAAAAAAAAAAACAAAAAAAAAAAACAAACAAGAAATTGTCATTCTGTTCACCCACTTTGGAGCGAAGTTATCATTCGCAATGAAATCTCCTCAGGAAGCAAAGTTTTAACTTAATAAAATGAAATACAAAAGGCTAAAAATATATAGAAATATAAAGGTTTCAAGTTATAAGGTATCAGTTACCTTAACATACATGTACCAGGAAAGATAAGTGAATCCTTATGTTTGGTTTGTATAATTTTTGTACCAGTTTTGATAATTTAAAAACTCAGGTGCAATTCAAAGTTACTCTAATTTAAAAAAACTTCATTACTACTTTCCATTATTAAAATAGCTGAGTTTTAAGGAAATTAATTGTGAATGCTAGCATTAAATTTGTTTACTTCCAGCAGCATATCACGATATAAGTTTTTATGAATATAAATTCTGGTATTTATTGTTATGTTATTTATCAGCTGATTATTATAAGTTATTTTGAGGAAATAAATTATACATGTACAAAATGACACTAGTTTTGAACCAGTGCTTTTGGTAGTCAATTCTTCTTTCATTTTTCTATTGGTTACAAATATTTCTGTGTATGTAGAAAGTCATATTACTAGATTGTAATTTATGTTTTTCTTGTAAAGTATCTAGAAATAAAAATTAATATACGAGGGCCGTTCAAAAATTACGCGGACTTGTTGCACAGAAAAAATATTTGACTAAATAATCGGGGCAAAATGTCACACATAATATAAAAGAATCTTTACCTATGTGGTCTTCAAAATTTCATATCAAATTGTTGTAAATTGGTATCAATTTTAAGTGATTTTTCAGGACATATCATTAAGTCACGGAGCAGCAAAATCTTCGACGTCACAGGCATTTTAAAAAATATGTGATTGAGCTTTCATTTTTTCAACATTTTCCCAAGAGTACCTGTATAGTTTGAGTTACCTTATCTACTCAACATCCAAACACCATTTCTTGTCAAGCTTAAAATCTATTAAACAAGTAAAGAGTATTCTTTTTTGTTTTAAAACCAAAAAACTGCAGGTATTTATGAGATATAGTGTGATATTGATGACTCTCATCAATCACATGCACGTTCTTTACAGTCCGGATAAAGTTTCGTCGATAATCTTCTTCCCGTCTTCCCATATAGCATATATATATTTTACAGAGGTCTAACGGTATAAAATTTCAATTTGCTATTTGTGGACGAATGTCACGAATACCCTAGTTTACTACATGTTTTATTATGCATATTTTGGATCTATGTTGGCGATATTTCGAGCATTACACCTAATTTAACAAAAGTGTGGTGCGCCGTCAATTCAGGAGACGTCATTTTTACAGTCGTTTTCACGGGAATCGCATCAGAGAAAAATCACTATATTTCTGTTAGTACTTCAAATATCACGTCAGAAATCTAAATACATAACAAAAGAACAATTTAAAGATACATTTGAGAAAATTGTTGAAAAATATCGCGAATTTTAGAAAATTAATGAGTTAAATTTTGGATTCCGCATGCTTTTGCTTCAAATTTTTGTCGTGCTCCGTACCTCTCCATCAGCGATATCAACATACCCATAATTTTAGTAGAGTCTTTTTAAAATACAGACATTTTGCCCAAAATTTATTGGAATCTTTAAGAAACATATTTCTGTGAAATTCCATAACTATATAACGTCTGTAAGAGTAAATAATAGCATAGTCCGCGTAATATTTGAACGGGCCTCGTATAAATTCTTTGATATATATATATATATATATATATATATATATATATATATATATATATATATATATATATATATATATATATATATATATATATATATATATTTTTATTTTAATGTCACTGGAATTTCCATTTTGAAACAAAAAAGACAAAAGAGCACTGTCAGTTTGATTGTTTGTTAACAAAAGCAAAATTTAATCTCTTCAATATATAGTACTACATAAATAATTAAGGAGCACAATCATAAATATTTCAAAATCTACAGGTATGTTGCTGCAAGAAATATAAAAAGAAATGAACAATACTTAAACGATCAATCAAACAATATAAATTGTGTACCAACCAAATACCAATTTCTTAAATCAGAAGTTGTATCAAGTTAATGTCCCTAGCCCCCTTCCGGTTTCACGATATTTTAACTATTTACTAGCAAATAGTGTCTGTAGGAGAGTACAACATATTGCTATCAAAATCGTATATATCATGCATATTTTCCATAAAAAAATATATGACTGTATGTTGTTAAATGTCCCTTTTGAGAATTTTTCACTCATATGTAGACGCCATCACTTGCCGGTGAAGAGCTACAAATTTAGTCATATACTCGGCACTAAGGGCCATTGAGCACTGAGGGAGCTTTTTTGTGCCAGCACCTACTGCGACACGGGACCTCTGTTTATATGTCTCTTCTAAAGGACCGGTCTCCACGTCCCACAGTAGGATTAGAACATGCGACTCCTAACTTCGCGACTCTAGAGCAGAACCTCTAACCACTGCGCCACGCAGGCGACCATAAAGTGCTATGAAATATGAAAATAACGACCAGTGAAAACCCCTTTGAAACTATATGTAATGGGAGAAAACGATAAGATGGACATCTAAGAACATATAATCGAGCGATGGGATCAGGATATCATATAGGCCTTAACATCACTTGTCTTCTGATCACAACAACGTTGTGCTTCTTGTTATGATAAGGTAAACGTAAAATCCAATAAACAATTCAAGGCAAAAGTAAAGTCTAACAATTTCTATATAAAAATTCACAACAATCTAAAGTGCAATGTGTTGTTATTCCTGAGACGGGTCATCTGATAGAAAATCAAAAAGCAAGTTTAATGTTAACTTTAAAAAGGACTGTTTGTATCTTAATATTTGCCATTAAGGATTACAATAATTTGTTCTTTGCATATCAGATTTTAATTGAATTTAATTCTAATATATTGACTGATTTATTGTATATTGTTTAACGTCCCTCTGGAGAATTTTTCCTCATGATCATATGGAGACGCCACAACTTGACGGTGGCAAATTTTGTCCTATACTCGGCACTCAGGGCCATAGAGCAGTGAGGGATCTTTTTCGTGCAAGCACCCACTGCAGCATGGGTCCTCGAATACGGTGACTTCCGAAGGACCGGTCTCTATGTTCCACATTGGGATTCGAACCGGCGACTTAAGGATCAACTCCTTACTTCGCGACTCTAGAGCAAAATCTCTAAAACGCTGCGCCACGCGGGCGACGGCTCTAATATAAGATTGAACCAAAAAAGAGATCGGATACCGGTATTTAAATTCAGGGGAAAGTGTACTAAACAGAAATTAAGCAATTCATTGCCAAAATAACATTTTAAGAATTGTATAAAACCTATGGAGATAACGAACAGTATTCAGGATCAAAGTGCACTAAGCAATACATAATAGAAGAAGAGCAAACTCGGACCTTCAAAAAATCAGAGGTGGGGTCAGGTGCCATGGAGGAGTGAGCATGAAAATGTGAGTCAATATTCAAAATAGAGATGGGTAGTATTTGCGAACAATTTAAAAAACATCATGATTATAGAGGGAAGGAAATATCAAAACAATTTATAGGGAGGTTCATGTCCGTTAACTTGTACATGTATACATGTGCGACGTCACAGAAGTCACAATAATCTCGGCCACAATGAACTTAAAAAGCAAAATCAAATTTTTTTAACGTATCACCCTAAATGTAAGATCTTCTTCGAGAGTTGTTTTCTTTTCGTCTCATTCTCGCTTCAGAAGTAGACACTTCGACGAATACTAAGTAAGGATGGTTTTGAGAAACTCATAAACATGCAGGAAACATTCTAAGCTTTTCCTGAGTCTTTTCCGATTTTCAAATTTAATATGTCATAGGGTCCAAAGTCTTCAAATTGACCGTATTCCATATTTGTGTCATGATACTTGTTTTGTAAGCGCAACCCTGGTTTATTTTCTCGTGTTAACAAGTTAGCTGAATTACGCATCTGCATCTCTGGAGATGATTTTTCTGACTCTATGAAACAAAGTATAAAAATATGCAAAAACTTCCAAAATTAGGAATATTTCATATATTTATATACATTAAAATTTTCACTTAACAAGATTCGATATAAGCAATGTTACCTTGATTATCTTGGCATTGTTTCGATGTACACTTCCTGTTTAAAAATAAATTTGTTTCATATAAAATGCATTTTCAAATAATTGGGCAAATTTTCAAGAAAAAAATGGATACTTGTTTCGTTTTAATTAATGTTACCAAGAAAATAAAAAAGAAGTAAAACTGTTGAAGCGTATTTCTAATAATAATCATATTTATTACCTTTTTCTGATACTAGTATACTTTTATTAATTTAATTATACACAATTTAGTTACAATCTCCCCCATCCGTCAATTGCTGTAAAAACACTTTTCCCCAATCAAAGTATGCATTTGTAAACTTGCAAAAAAATAATGGTACAAAAAATTAATATTGACGCTACAGCTGAATTCCCAGCTATGATAATTTAAAACACATGTAATATGTGATGAAATTCTCTATAGGGAAAACTACTTTTATAGATTCTAAGCAAGAGAACGCATTAATTTGATAACGCTAAGATTAAATGTAATGCTGAACCTACCTTAGTTTACAACATATAAGGATAGAAACTGTAAAACTAACACTGCAGGCTATAGTCACCGACAAAGCTAACCAAACATTGCCTTGGTTGAAAAAATGTACTCTTGTTGATGTATCAGCAGAATTATATGTAGTATTCTCATCATAACCTTTAATAAAAGCAGAAAACGTGAAGGTTCATCATATAAAACAGAATTTAATGACCATCGTATGACAATTGTGTCAACGGGCTTTAAATCAAACAATGCATGTTGAATTTAACAAAAGCTTTGACAGGTAAAACCGATTTCAAATAGAATAGCGATATGAAAAAATAAACGGAGGTTTTACTAATTCATGAAATCATTACAATTGTTGTTCACTGTTTGTGAGGTAATTATCTACTCATGTGCATTAAACATCTATAGCGAATCCAGAAATTGTTGCGATTTACACTAAACATGTCAAGGGCTGCGGTCATTTGTCCTCCACTGCGTAATTATTTTGAATTTCTCGCACCTGCTAATTTTCCTCACGCGTACATACTAATTTTATATTATATCTTCACTGAATGTTATATCAAAAGCATTTATTACTGTTGTCTTTTAAAGTGAGGTAACAGAAGACTTATGTGTACAATGTATATGCGTACAGTACAAAGTACCTTTCCCACACTAACAACATATTGTTGATTTATAACCGTACATTGTAAAACATTAACATATTTTTACATAAAAAAGGTAAGCTCTTAATTCCTGGGCGTTTGAAGTGTTATCAAATAATGCAAAAATGATACAAATTAATGTTTTTCCGGTATTATCTCGAAATAGATTTGGGAGGACATCATTAAAAGAGCATTTGACATGCTGAAAGTCATGCAAAGGTCCTTAAATAAAAAAGCTCTAGTTATACAGGAAATAAAAGAAAACTGGGCTAAAACCTGGGCTGCATAAATGTCCTTCAGCATTGTTATTTTAAAGCGTTTTTCCAACAGATTTAATTTAAAAATATTCCTCAGAAACCTACTGTAAAATCACATATTTTCGTGTGGTCAAATATTTGTAGTTTGAGTAAAAAAATTTTGAATCATATGCATGGGATTTGAATTAGTGGATGAAAAATTGTTGAGTAATTATGTATGTAACATTTTACATTTCGTGGTGGACATAAACGTTGGACGTTGGATCCTGATTTTCAGTCAAACAAAAAATTATCTAATAAATGTATTTTTTTTATTTTTACGCATAGATTTAGAAAAAAATCAGAATATTTGGTCTCAGAGTACATGAAGACTGTTTTTACATATTATATAATCGATTAGGCCACATATTATGTAAGCTATGTTTACTTTTCAATCATGTTCATAATCTTTATTTTGTGCAATTTTTTAGAGAGTTAAAAGGACATGTAGCAAACTAATAATTTGATGGATTTTATAACTAGTGCAATGGTTAGTTACATTTTCCCCAATTATTTTGAAAGCCACATCTGTTGTTAATTAATATGAATATGGGAAGTGAAGGCGATTTCTTGAAATGCTATATACTGATTTTACAATAACTGTGAATTTGGTCATAGAACTGTAAAGAAATGAGAAGTTCCAGAAATGAGGTTTATTATGCCTTTTCGCACTATGGTGCATTTAATAAGGCATTTTTGCACTTGTTTTTTTGTTTTTGTCGTAATTTCTTTCTTTAATATTTGTTCAGCGAAATTACCCATGAGGTAAAATATGCTACGAGTATAACTCAAAGAAAACGTTAAAGCAATATTAGTTGCATGTTCGACATAGGAAAATTTTGTGGCAAATGTATAATGAACTATTTCAATGACAGAAAAAAGAACTGCATAATATTGATTTCTGATATAATACATGTACGATTATATCTTCGATTGTACAGACATATTTTATCTGAAACATTTAAAAACTTTATTTTGGTCTTATTGTTCATGAGGCTTAAAATTACACACAAATTAATCAGAAAAAACATCTGACCAACAAAATTGAAATTCTCAAATGAAGCTCATATGCTTTAAATTATCATGAAAAAATTACTTCACATTGTCAATTACTTGACCTTTCTGTACTCACAAAATGTCTTTTATCTATATCCTGTATTTATATATATTGATTCTATGATTGTGTGTATTATTTTGGAACGTTTGAGGTATTATTTATGAAACCTGTACAAAGAATAGGTATCTCTTCAAAAAGCATGACACTATGAAATAAAATAAAATTTTCTTACTTTCAGTTGGAGCACAGCCAGTAACGGGGTGACACTGTGTACAGTTAATACATGATTCTCTACAGAGCTTTCCGTAAAAACCTGGAGGGCATGGGGTGCAGTTAAAACTATGCGTTCCTGGCCAACATTCTTTAAAATGAAGTTAATTCAATCAATGAAACACTAGTAAGTAAATAAAAAAATATATTTGCTTATTTTATTTTATTTATTTATTTTTTTTTTTTTTTTGGTGTTTTAAATCCGTGTAAAAATATTTCACCCATATGGATATAATTACGAGACAAAGCATTTAAATAAATAACAAGTCTCATTATGGCTTATTTGTGGTCCAAATTTACTAAATAAAGCAAGAAATATTCGTAAAACACTGATATCCCCGTATGGCAGCTTATAGCGAGGACTGAAGTTTCTCAAATGCAAATCAAATTCCAAGGTCAATATCAAGACGTCAAAACAGTCAGTAAAAGAAGAATGCATATCTGAAGTGTGAAAGCCTCAGTACTTACTGTTAAAAAGTTATAGCCAAGGTTAAAGATGTTAAAAGCGGGTCAGACTCTAAGTTCAAGCCAAGAGGTCAAATTAGTGGTACCTAAAGAAAGGTCTTATCACAAGAAATACACCTGTGAAATATGAAAGCGTAGCCCTACCCATTCAAAAGTTATCATGGAGTCAAATGTTAAATGACGTTTTTCATACTTATTCATATTTATTGTTTAGCTATTATTTACACACTGAATTGTCGATGGAATTTTTCTTTATTTCTCAATCATCACAAGGAGCACAAGAAGGATGTGACCGGTCGGCGATCCACATCTGATGTTTTAGAGGTCCATGTTTGCTGCGCTCAAAAAATGCTCAAAACATTGTATTGTTAAATAGAGTTTTGAGCTAGCTTTCAAACAGTTCGTTTTCTTTATAAATTTAACATATTATGTAAACAATAAAAATACCGTCTAGTATCATCAAACTGATGAACTAAAGAGAGTGTGCACAGGTAGCAAACTAATTTTTACGAGGAAACTCCTTTACTCCAAGTTAGCTTTTCTTTTAACAAAACGAGCTCAAAATGCTCATTTTATAACCTGTTCTTATATATATTCAACGATATCCCTGATATTGTACAAAATAAAGGATATTTTTTACTTCAGTATTTTTTTTCAAATAAAATAGACTTATTAAAAGAACAGCTTTCGAAAATTTAGAAAATACGTTGAAATAAATGCGTCACTTAGAAGTGGAAGCAGAGGATTCCATAGACCATTAGAAGATTAAAGCTTGTTAAAAATATTTTTTAATAAAGCACACGTATATACAAACCAACGCCACCCCCAAAATGTTATTTTTATTTAATTACAAGTCGTTGATAAATTAAAATACCTTCGCAAGCTTCACCAATTTTGCGGTAGTTTTCACAGCATGTCAAGGGTTCCCTTAACATAACAAATTAAAGTTTTTAAAATCATTATTAATCGCAATGTATAAGCAAACACAGCAATAACCCGAAAATGATCCTCAAGATCATCGAACTCATTTACTTCTTAAATCAAACGTTAGCATTAAATAAGCAATTCAAATAAATATTTTTTCCAAGACTATTGTATTGAACGTTACTATATTTACATGTATTTATTCAGAGTTCCTTACCCGCTCTTTGAACAAATTCCTGAAGTATTTATACACAGTCCAATTCCTTTTACCAACAGAGCAATGATAACGCAGTATTTCATTACAAAAATAAATTATTGGTAATATTGTTATAAAAATTCAAGCTTTGAATACGTGTATTGGAACGAAAAAAAAGAAACACAAAACGTTGGCGTTTAATTTCCTTGAACTCCTGTAAAACTATTTCATGCACAAATATGAAAATATGCAATGCAAGATTTGAAAAATCAACAAATGTGTTTTCAGACAGGATCATTTCCCTCTCTTATAATATTTGTATTTATGAAAAGTCAATCAATCTGAATCAAGGAAATTACTCGATCAATTACATGTTTATTTAATAAAGATAAAATGAATTATAATCTCTATCGCAGTTTTCATAGAGTTGAATTTTGAATGAAACTATACTGAACATCTAATCCAGGTAAACTGTCCAAGTGTTTTATTGTATGGATTTTGAATTCTGATATTTCATTTTAATTTAATAGATTTGTAATTAAAGAGGCATACAATCTCAAAAAGTCGATGGTTAATCAAAGCATCTACTATAATTATTTATAGTCAACGATACTTTAGTAACAATAGTAAATTGTTGTTAAAATTGGGGATCTAGACTCAAGACACACAATCGCAATTAGTATAAAATAAATTATTTTTTGATGATTTTTATTCTAATTTCAATTATTTCTAGTCTCCCGCATTTCACTATGGTTAAAACGTACGTGCTTTAAGAGTCGTGAAGTAAAGAGCCGATCCTTATGTCGTGGGTTCGAAACCAATGCTGGACGTGGAGACCTGTCCTTATGAAGAGACGATATACATGTAAAGTAAGAGATCTTTAGAAGTGGCTATATAGGTCTTGGCACGAAAAAGATCCCCCAATGCTCAATGATCTTGATTGCCAAGTATAGGTATGAATTTGCAACCCTGTCTCGACAAGTGGGGCGTTTAAATATGAGTTAGAGACTTTAAACAAGAAACTAAGAATTGTTTCAATCACTTAAGGTTATTCCACCCTCCTATGATGTCATAAGTTTTTTTTTTTTGCAAAAACTGTTTTTAGTTTAGATTAATAACTGATAGAACAATATCTTTTGGAGGAATGCTTTTCAATAGGTGTACTGATAAATATTGTAAAGTAAAAGAAAATTTAAAATGCATATTTCCTTTATTTAATCAATTATTCAATCTTTAAAAATTGTTGACAAGGGCAATAACTCCTTCTCGGGTCTCTTCATTCAGGCATTTGCTTTATTGTACTTCTAATGTAAGGTAGTTTCCTTGATATTCCCAGTTCAAAAGTATCTCATAAGTAGGAAGTACTTAGGAACACTCAGCATCAGATTTATGCATTTTAACCAGTTTTTACATATTTTCGTAATACTGTTTACACCAAATGTGCAATTTTTGTTGTTGACATTTATACTTCTGTTTATTTATGTCTCTCATCTAAAATAATATGGCGACCGATACATTTTTGCAATAATTGAAAAAATTTAAGTATGTTGAATGAAAATAAATGCAGTTTTTGTACTTTGAACAATTAGAATTGTCAGGATGGAAAGACCCTGACCCCGATTTTAGAGGAAAAACACACTCATAGTTTGCTTAAATTTATACCCAATCAAAACAATTTTTTTATCACGCTTTATTCAAAATGCAAAGCTTTAAAATATTGCATGTTGTTTTAATGTAAGAATCCACTGCATTTTACATCTATATTTACTAATAATTACTGGCGAAAACCATTGCGACGTCAAACTTTGAACTCAAGGAAACAATATCATAAGACTTATGTCTACATATAAAAGGACAACACATTTGAAATAACTTTATAAATTACATATTAATAAAAAGACCATCGGATATTGATTTCAAGTTTTCCATTTACATAGACTGTATTAGGACAAATCCTTTTGATCACGTGCACAAGCACAAAGTACAACATAAATCTATTAAACTAATTGATTACTAGTCGTGGTGATGATTTATGAGGAAAACGCTAAGCTGTTCTCCTCAAAAACCAATCTCAGACAATCACAAAGTGACCAACTATAGATATTATTATTATGCATCAATTTCCGCAAAGTGTAGAATACTAATACCAGTTTTGAAAAGCAAGCCAAAGTTCAACAAAAGCATTCGAGGGTTGTTCAATACCAATATCCATTATAGATACTCAGTTCATTTACATGTAATGACATAAAGATGAAACATAATAATTCTGTTGGTTGTCAGTCAATGAGTAATTTCATTCCAGCAATAATATTTGTAATATGTAAGCAGAGATAAAAACAGCAACACACAATCGTTCCTTTATATTTACCCATGCGTTCAAAATAAGACGGGATGATAACTCCACTTGGTAGGGGATTAATATACACGGTACATGTACTAGACTGCCATAGTTTTTCCCTGTGCCTTAATTCATTCATATTATCCTGCACTATGGGTTGGTCCGACCACTTCTGTCTTATTTCTCGTGGTCAATTATCTAAGGAACGTACCCAAGTGTAACATGCAGGCGTAAAGTAAGCATTGATTAAAATTGTTTTTTGAACGTGCCGTGCAATGTCTGAATCCAATCAACTACAGATTTACTAAATATATCAACAAAAATATGCATGAAAGTATTGGCATCATTTATCAATCCTAAAATAAGAAGTTAATCAATAATTAATGTAAAATTAATAATTAATATAAAATAGTTCTTAAAACGTATAGTTAATTAATTTGCAATAAAATATTTTACAGCAGACCACAGTGATCACAAATTTACATGTACTTTTTCCCTCCATATCCAATAGAATGAAAAATTAAATTTAAAACATATTGTGTCCCGCAGCTTTGTTCTTTTTCAGCCAGAATACAAAACTAAGAATGTATGTAGTTAAATATGTCATTTATTAATGAAACAAAGGTAAAAAGAAAATTGGGAGATCCTATGTTTCTCTACAATTTATTTATACACCTGGATTTGGATCCTCCATATATTAAAGGTGCATGAAAGTGTCATGAGTGTAACAAAATCATTAAGTTAATGCAATCTATCATTTACTATATCTAATTGTAGTTACTCGTAGTATAAAAGTTAGAACAAAGAAAAATACGTTCTTACCTGATAAGCAACAGTGCGGCATCCATCCTTCTTTGTATGACGTTTCTATTTCTTTTGAAATATTATTTTAATCATTTATTCCAAGCTCTCTGATTGGTTCAAACTTGATCACATGATTAAGTATATAACAGCATAAAGACTTGAGTTACTTTTTATAGAATCTGAAATGCACATCGACTTGATGTTTCTTAAAATGGAGATTATTTTTTATAAAACAAAAATAGTACTGGTTTCACAATTATAGCTAATACAGTGTGTGACTTGATGTTCCTGAAAAAGTATATACTTCAACTTGTATCAATATTTTATAATGTTCAGTAATTGATGAAACGAAACAATGCCATGAATTAGAATCTACTTTATATCTAAACATATTGAATATGTTTGTCAAAAATTGATACAAAAAATGTAGTATTTTGAATAAGTTAATCCTCGAAATTCATGAAATTACTCCATCAATATAAATGAAAAAAAATTACATTTAACAGCTTAATTTATTTTGATCTCTAGTCTCTATAAGTGTTAAAGAGAAAAAAAACTTGTGCCTTGTTCCCATTATTTTCAAATTGTGTTTTGTCAATTAATGTGAAAAATAATATAACAAATGTAGCCCTTTAGCTCGGTTCATCCATCAAAGGGCTATATTTATATAATATTTTCATATTTCACAAAAGAACGTACATGTATTATCACCTGAAATCGGCTAATCTACCACTCAAACTCCTGTGCAATTTAGATGAAAATCCTCAAGCCATTTTTTAGAAACATACTTCCTGCGTCTCAGCATTTTAATATTTTTTTCCTTTACGTTTTCTAGGACGCAGTATAAAATGCTAATTCTACTTACTGCTCCTCGACGTAAAACGACGTCAGCTATATAGTTTACCTTTTTCAAACAGTACCAGTTACATGCAGAAAATTATTTTTTTAAACGAATCAAACCATTGAGCAATAATTTGGAATATGATATGATGTTGTAGTTCCTAATTCCAACGTCAAGACGCTTTTATCTTAGTTTTACCTACATGAATTATAATAATAGAATTAAATTTCTAGATATTGACCTGCTCCATGATTCTAATTTTGCAGATCTATTTACTTTGGATATCTTTGAAATTTACAAAAAGTATCCGAAATTGTAAACTCTCTTTCAGTATACGTTCTGTCACCTTTCAGTTGACTAAATGTGCGAGTTTAAGGCTCTGAATTTTGAAATAATAATAAAAAAAACATTTACAAGAAATTCGGGGTACATGTACTTTTGTGAACAATTTTACGAAAATATGCAAAAATATAAGAGAGACATTAAAAATTTACTAATATTAGATAATAAAGTCTGCGATTTCAGGTGTTCAGACAAAATTGTAACTGCTTTAGCCGCACAGTGTACAAAGTCTTGTACAATTTTTTTTATTGAATCCAAAGAGACTTGAACAAATTATTGTTTCCATGGCTCCAGTCATCGTTACCTAGTGAACACATTAGTTTTAACCACAACCTTCATCAACCATGGTCTCTTTCCTTAATTTTAAGGTAAAACAGCTACTGTAATCAAGACTGCCTTGAGAGGGCAAGCGCTTGACGAGTGTCTAAACGCGTTACTATATCCCCTCCTGTTCCATTGCAATAAGCGGTCGAAATTCGTTGCTGGTTGGGAATATTTGAGAGAGATGGTACATGAAGATATAATTTATATCAAGTACTTATGGTATTCAAGTACTATTTAGGATTGAATTAAAAAAAAATCTATGTGCATATATAAAGTTTAAGTATTTCTTGAAAAATGTTAAGAATAGATGCGTTTGATTATAAAATGGAATAGATTTGTCTTACATTCAGTTGGAGTACAGCCAGTAACCGGATGACACGGTGTGCAGAGATTACATGATTCTCTACAGAACTTTCCATAAAAACCTGGAGGGCATGGAGTGCAGTTAACACCAAACGTTCCTGGCCAACATTCTTTTAAAATGTCGTTCAACATTTATTAGCAATGATTTTTCAAATAATTCATGATCAATCTATTCTATATTTTTGACAGTAAATTATAAATATGATAGCAAAACTAATTATAAACTAATCGAGTCGAATAAGTTTAAGATTTTCTTATTTTTCTTTTAACTCAATGATTATTTACATATAAGTGTATCATAAGTGACAAAAAATCTTAAAAGTACATATAACACAGTTGTCTTTCTACGCCTGGTTAGTGTTGTTAAAATGTTTTTCATTACATATTTTATATTATTGTTAATTTTTTAAATTTTAATTTTTGAGTTATTAAAACCATTTTGCTTTGAGATCCAAGTATGATCTCTTTTCAAAGGCACTTTTACTGAACAATATATGAAATATGTTAAAGAAGTTATAGTTAATTAATTACTTTCAAAACTAGATATACACAAATACATCGTAATATAAGAAAAAAAAGTACATCCATCTTTCAAATATGCTTTTTAATTATTTTCGTGGAGTTAAGAAAAACGAATTTAAACTCTTTTCTAAGCCCTTTCCTTTGTAATTTATACTTCCTTTTTGTAGAAGAAGATGATTCGATGCAGCATTAAGTAAAATATATTCGAAGTTATAGAGAAACACTATGAGTATCAGATATAACAGTTAGCACTGAGAGTAGAGAATTTCATCGACTGTTAGAAGAATCAAATCTAGAGAAAAATGTTTCTACCTTCAGTATTAGCAATTTATAATAATGAGTGGTGAATTTTTGCCCGTTCAAAATTAAGAGCCCCACAGGTACAGAAATAATCACCCATGTCCTGAAGTGAAGTTTGTTTTAATTTATAATAACAAGTTGTTGTAAATATATCATAATACCTTCGCAGGCTTCACCAACTTTGCGGTAGTTTTCACAGCATATCAATGGTCCCCTTTTTAATAACAAGAATTTTTTATATCATTGAAGTAAAACATATAGTTAAAAATATTTCATGTATCTGTTTACCTGTACTTTTAACTCTACAGTTTTATATGATCCTGCTTTACAATTCCTATGTGGTTTTTAGAGACCAGGTCTTCCAACGATTTATTGGATTTCCATTGGGTACAAATTTGGCCCCGTTAATCACAGACATTCTTTGTATTCATGAGAAGCAGAATTTATCCAAAATCTTATATGTGAAGAGAGGAAAAAACTTGCTGAGGCGTTCAACTAGATTTATATTAGAAATATCGACGACATATTGTCAATTAACAGTGGTTATTTCCATTCTTATGTTGATACGATGTAACAGGGTGAGCTTGAGATAAAAGATACCACAGAGACTGTCACATCTGCTACACATTTGGATATATTACTTGAAAAAGACGTTAATGGTAATCTTAGAAAACCAAGCTTTATGATAAACATGATAACTTTATTATTCAATCGTGAACTTAGGCAGCAATATTCCTTCATCACCTGCATACGGACTTAATATCTCTCGGTTGCTTCGATATGCAAGATCATGCTTTACGTGTTTAAAATATCTAAGGCGAGGTAAATTATTGACGAACAATTTAATTAAGGGTCCTCCACACACACACAGCTTATGTTGGCATATTATTGAGCATAACTTTTAATAAGCATATCAATCTTTAAAAACTGGCCAGGGATAAAAATGTAATTTATACCGATTTTTTTATTTCATAATTTCACAAGTTTCAAGACATTTTTCCTAAGGCGTTTTCATACGTAGCACAAAAGAATTTTGTTTACCCTATCGTATATTCTTAAGCCTACAGAATAACCATAAAAACTTAATTTGATTTATCGAAATATTTTTAGAGAAATATATCTAATTTATATAAAATAAATAAAACTCATTTTCTTTAAATATACGTCTAGAGAAAAATCAAGGAAGACTCCTTTTATATTGAATAAACATCAATGAATTATATTACACCAAAAAAAAAAAAAAGAATTGAAATTAAATGCACTGATGTAGAGAAAATATTTTAAAATCTTTGTTAATAAAGTTCCTTTTTGGAATTATTTTTCCTGTTGCCCGGGACTCAGAAACTTTGGCAAGTCTCCGCATACGTCACCATACAAAAGTTACTCATTATTGGCTACTGAACTGGACAGATAAAAAAGAGGAAAACTAGAAACGCATACTATTTTATCAATATTTACAAACACACAATAAGATTAGTGTGCAAAACTATCACTTTTCATTACAGGTACTCTTGACGATCATATGGCAGTGGGCTGATTAGCCTGAATGTATACATAACCTAAAAGTTCTCGTCATACTGATACCCGTTGTTTATGAATTATTATGTAACATAAACCCAGCCCCCTTGTTTCCCTTGACAAAACCTTTATCTCTAAAGCGTTTGAAAGACTCTCTTACAAGCGGTGCCAGGCAAATCGTCAGTGCACAAACTACATAAAACCGGAAGTAAAAGAATTTTTTCTCTATATACGTCACAAGTCACATGGTGTAGAGGGCCTTTAAACAAGAATATCAGCATTTTCGTTTAAAGTCATCATTTCGTCGAAACAATGACTTGGTTTTTGTCATCATTAAAATTAATGTCATCATTCTGTAAAATCTATGGTCGATGCAATGACCTTCTCAACAAATAAAATTAATCATTAAGGCAAATACCGAACGACGTTTTTCATACTTATTGTTAGGCCATTTTTTACGAACTGAATTGTCGATTTTGCCGGTATATCCCGATCATGACAAGGAGCTCATGGCTGGTGTGACCCGTCGGCAGGGGATTCTCACTTTTCCATGGTACCTGATCCTACCTCTGATGTTTTGTAGGTGTGTGTTAACTGTGCTCCAATGTTGCTTGTTATCTCCATATATTTCATATACTTCCTTATTTAACTGTTGAACAAATTAAACCAACTTTTATACCAAGATATTAAAGTAACAAACTATATTTCTTCATAATTTCTTACCCCAATTTTGAACAGATTCCATCACTCAAAAGTTGATAAATGGCATTTGATAATGAAGCCAGGATAAAGTTATATTTCATAATTTGGATTAAAATGAATTATTAAGGTTCTCCTTTGAAAATGTTAGTGTTCTGTACATGCAACTTTTATTGAAGAACAGGAAATGGCGCTTCTATTTCCTTGAAATTCCATAAAAAACTTTATCATGTGCTTGAATAGATCATTAAATTTAATGCAGGGAAAAAGACACAAAGTTTTAACAGACATTCGGAGTCATTTCCCTCGACAGTATATATATTTATAAACTGCTTTAATTAAAGACAATTCTCAATTTCATTAATGACAAATATGCAAAATGATTCTCTTTTGTGTGAAACGTTTAGAAATATTGTTGGACTTTCAATATCAGCTAAAATACAGACCAAGTAGACTGTTAACACGAGGGAACGAATGAATAACAAATTCAAATACTAAAAAAAGCGAAAGTAAAGCAGGTGTTTTTGAAAATACTTAAAAAGATAACCAGATTAAATGTTTTGGTGGCTTTTCAAAACTATATTTTCAAATATTATTGCATTCATACAGGCAAACTTTGAAAGGTCCTTGTTGATTTAATGGCTTCCTCAATTTAAAAAGACAGCCCCTGTTATATATCTTTTAAAGTATAAAGCTTAATTATCTTAAGTTTATACATATAATTTAGATTTGAACAAATAAAGAAAACAAATTCCCAAAAGTTTTGACTTGAAGAAAAGGTTTGGCTCTGAATCCACGGGACAAAGAGAAACACAGAGCAAATATAAATTAAATTATTTAAAATAGAAAAAATGAAGTAAAAAATCGAAATCAATGCAATAGATGTTATTGTTATTGCATTTTAAAATGTATTTTGTGTTTCATATGCTCATTTCGCCAATCGGATTTAATAGTTCTTTCAAAGAAATTGTTATTATTTGAAATTAAAAGATAAAATAACCATTGTAAGTAGTAAGAGTGAATATGAGCACCAAAAAACAAAAACAAAAACAAAAACCAAAAAACGAATATATATGAACATGTACATATGCTTGATCAACATACAATTATCTATAACCTAATGCTGCATTAGCTAACAACTCGTTCTTAATCCTTCAATAATATGAGTAAAAATTAAAATAAAACAAACCAAAAAAAATTAAACATTTTATTGTCTTTAAATTAAAAAAGAAGTAGACAACATATATTTCCAGGTTCTGTGTATTAGCAATTCACTCAAGTCTAAATAATTTTAAAATGACTAGAATCTACATCATTGTGATCATGGATGATTAAGAAATAATGTTTTTTCCTGAGGTACATGTATCCACCAGGCCGATGATACCTTTGGTGTGCTCCAATCGTACTAGAAGTTTTTGAAGACAGGATGTTTATTTTTCTGAAGAAAAAAATTAGTAAAACTTATATGCACATACTCGTATAATATATATGTATGATATACACATGCATTTCATGTTTCCTTAAGGCTATCTACATGTTTATATTTGATTACTTTTAAGGATTATATCTTATTTGGTGATGGAGAGGAATTTAACAATGCACTCTTACATTTACATTCCAATGTATTCGTCCGATATGAAATTACAAATAGTAAAAATACTTTATAGCACATTGATCTACCGATCATCGATAGGCACGGTTAAAACAAATCACGTGCAGGCCGAGACAAATAGAAACAGAAAAGGGCTTGAAGCACGTAAATTTGCGGGATCGAGAGCATGTAAATATAAGGAATAACTGTCAGAATTGTATTACTACATCTGCTTTACTTCCAACATGTACTTGTATAACCTCGATCGATCTATATATTGAGAGTTTCAGAATTTTTTTCTTTTTAAAATAAAGCTTTTGTTTTCATGCCACAAGCACCCTAGCTCTTCTTACTGAAATTCAATTTCAAGTCCCTTTTTTGTTTCTCATTTTTTAAAATAATTATTATCGTATCATTTTAGTGCACTTAATTTGAAGTTTAACTTTTAATCACATCTAGCATTTATCAGAAAAATTCTTAAATAACGTTATTTTGCCTATTAGATAACTTTTCTGTCTATAACATGTATTACTCACGCTTCTGTTTTATAGAAGTTTACACTTACCTGTTGTGGTCTTCTTACTCCCATTTCTGACAGCGGATCATGGTGAGAATCCTGAACATTCCTTAATGCTTGAAATGCCTAGAAATGCATTTGTTTTAATATAACAGTTTCAAAGATGATGTGCTTCCATTGAATCGGATTGTATAGAAAGAAGAATGTTTTTAAAAGAATAACACAAGAAATATCGGGGTATGGAATATACTATTTTTTTTAACTTAAGATTTCTTTATTTATTTTAAGTTGTAGTTTTTCAGTTATAAAGGAAAGTCTAATGTATTACCTCGCGTGTTACTTTTATTGGACATTTATGAACTATCCATTGTACAGTTTCAAAACATGGGGGTGTGGTTAACGATCCCTTATATGTATAAAATCTACGATCGTAGGGGAGGACGTCCAGAGGTGATATTCCACATACTGAGACTTCCGCATGTGAAGAACCAACATTCATTATGCAGTGTTCTTTAATGAAACTTTGTTGAAGTTTTTCTGGATGACATGGCGGTTCTACAAAAGATTTGTTTATTTTTTTTTGTGTTCACACACTGTCAGATATTCTATGAAAAAAAACCTTTAAGCTGTTTGACAAAATAAAATAACCTATATAACATTTTACTGTTAGTTAACATTTTTTATGAAACAGACAACCTATACTGATGGTAAAGAAAGCGTAGTTTTAACTGGGTAATTAACATTCTCTGCAGATCATTTTTTTTTATCATAATCAATGTTATTTGATATGTTATATATGCACATGTATATGACATGACTTACGTGTTTCTCGTGTCTCTATTGTATATCCTTTACCATTATACATCCTTATTTTCCTGTAGTATGTAGTCATTATTTCACTCAGTGTTTTAGCAAACCTCACTTTACAACGACGATGCTGAAGAAAAAAAAATGTTTTAGCAAATTATGAATCTCTATATGCAAAAATAAAGAAAGATTTCCGATTTAACTATTACTTTTACAAAATGCATTGTAAACATTTGTACAAGTAAAAGTTTTACAATACCCCTTTGTAGCGTCTTCTGTTGTAATGACGTGCATAGTCCTTGTCGTGCCCTTTGTTACAAATCTTAAAAAGAAACAGTTTCTGATGAATTTATGTGAACAAAGAATAAAAAAAAAAGCTTAATGCATCTAGCTCACCTGATCATGAGCTGAAGACTCAAACGGGCTTTTAAATAAAATTTATCCATTGTCGTTAACTTTAATATTTATATTTTTCCAGAACCACTTGGTCAATTTTCGACTTAACTTGCCAAATGCATTCCCAGGAAAAAAGAATTTAAAATCAAGCGTTTTAATTAAGCAACACACACTCATTCAAGGAGGGAAGACCCGTCCTGGATTATAAATAACCAGTGAAAATTTGATGGGAAGTTTAATGCCTCTTCTCAATAACAACTTGGAAAGGTCAAAAGAAAGAAGACGGAAAAATCTTTTTCACGATTTTTAAGAAGCTATTACCCTGTCTGGGTTAGAGCGCGACTATAACAGTCGATGAAAGTCTTACATTAGATTATATAGGAAAACTTCTTTTAAACAATCTCCTTGTCAAGAATAAAAATTTAATATCAAGTCATTTTGTAAGGAACATCCTCCTGTACAATGTGGCCGGATTAAATTGGTTAATCTTTAGAGAAGATAAGGACTCAAAAACTTTATAAAGGAAAAGAAAGGACAGATCTTGACACATTTTCTGAAAAGATTCATATTCATATGGAAGCGTCCTCAGGTAGAATAGATTCAAGTTTATTTAAATCATGACACTTGAGGGTATGAAGAGCCACATCAGGCAACTATGTAGTTTTAAATTTGATTTTATCGTTAAAATGGACGCCCCTTGCAATATGGTTAAAACTTTTACTTCAGAGTCGCGGTGTAGGGTGTTGATCTTACATTGTACTGTATCAGACTCAATCCCTAAACAAGGATGTGAAGATCGGTCCTTCGGTTGAGACCGTATGTATAAACAGATGTCCCATGTCAAAGTAAGTGCAAGAACAAACAAATAAATCTCTTACTGCTCAATGGCCCTAAGGTCTTAGTACAAATCTAAATTTGAAGCTCTCCACCAGATGTATATGCCTGTACATATACGTAGATGCATCGAATACTAAGTGAAAAATTTTCGATGGGTTTTTAAACTAATAATCAGCAAACATTATGTGAAGGCTTGCTCAGCTTGTTTCGAATGAGATTTCTTCAAATATAGCAAAATCAAAATTAGTCATTTTAATAAGTAAAACATAATTATCTAAATTTTGTAGATGTTTTCAATGTTGAGACCAATATGAGGACAGTAAACAGTCTTGACATATCTTCTTAAAAAGAGAAAAGCTATGAGAAGTCCTATCATATATATAATACCCCCTCCTCATTTTACCTGGTATGCATTTCAAACCAATAATTGGACCAAACATAATTTCTACAAATTCCCTAAATATTGTTTTTATGGATAATAATAATATTATTTTTCAAACGTCTTTTTGGTCTCTTATATGCCCTTGTTCATCTTCTTCCTATTTATCGTTGTCATTGTCATGTTGTACCTTGAAACATGATAGATGATTTATTATTTGAACTGAAATTAAATTTAAAATGATTTTTTAACTGTATAGTAAAACCAGAATAACATTTACAAATATATTCTCTTAATTGTATATCGTAATAATTAATTTTATCTTTATATTTTGACATACGGTATTTCCACATTTTTAATGTTAAATGCCAAAAATCTTTAGATGAATGTACTTACCTTGATCATTACCGATAGAACAACCAATCATTCTGGCCTAAATTTAGCGTATGTTATGTTTTTGTACCTCGTGTCATAAAACACCAAGTGAGCCTGAAAGGAAAAAAATACCATGACTTATAAAATCCATTTCATGCATTAAAAGAGAAATAACTACCCATTTGTGCAATATAAAGAAACAACCGTTTACATGTTGTTGTTGTTTTTTTTTTTTTTTACATAAACGATAATCTTATGCATCTAACGCTTTTACCGTTATTCCTCTAATTTGAATAAAAGATTTTTTTCTACATTCAATTGCCAAGACATGTAAACGAAAATGAAATTCAGAATCTTTTGTTGTTGTATTTAGGACTTAAAATAATCCTTGTCATACCTCCATGGGATAAAATTTGTTGTTTATAGAGTGTTCTGAACCTTTCCTCCTCTTTTTTACCAACATGAATGTGCAGCTGTGCGAAGTTGTATGTTCTACGTCTTCTATATGGAACATGGCTAAGGGTTATTTTTCCTCGTTCCTCTTTATTCACTTTGAAGTGCGGTGAATGTCCTTTTGAATTAAAAAAAACGGAGATAGTTTGCTTATTAGTGACACATACACGTGATGTTTTAATCGCAACTAGATTTTTTTATTTCATAATATTATTTTTCTTATATATTCCAAGCTCTCTGATTGGCTCAAACTTGATCACATGATCAATTATATAACAGCATAAAGACTTGAGTTACTATTTATAGATTCTTAAATGCATATTGACTTAATGCTTTTAAATATGGAAATAATTTTCTGTAAAACGACATTTATTGCTGAATTCTTAACAGGTAAGACAGAGTATGACTTGATTTCTCTAAAAAAAAATTGTACTTCAACTCTTTATTTATAATTGTGATGTTCTGTAATAATTAGTAAGACACAGGATTGCCCTGAAGAAGAATCTACTTTATGTTAAAACATATAATAGATATGTATTTTCAAAAATCAATACAAAACTTAATTAAACAAATTAGCCTTTATGCAAATACACTGACAATAGTTTTGCTTCGTTTGATATTGTAAAAACAAAATGAAGAGAATTTGAATTGAAAATTGTCATTTATTTTGATCTAATAAATGACGAGATAAATCATGCAAAAATACTAATTAAACAAAATGACAAACATTACACAATCATAAAAAACATGTGCATAAAATTAACAAATACATTTTGTTAAGCCAGTTATCATAGGCGGGGCATAAAAAATCGCCCATACAGTTTTAAACCTTCCTAAACAGTATCGCAATTATTAATCTTCTTACATACTCACAAGAACAAAAATGATTTAAATCGTTCAATTTATTTCTCTCATCAAACATAGCAAGAACATAAAAGTAAAAAGCTTTTGGGTGGGACGGTGGGAAAAACAAATCAAGATGACTGGCGAATGTATGTTGACAAGGCAATGCACGCTGGAAGAATGAAGGCGTGCGCAAAATTAGCGGAATCTGGTCAGTTGCTGATAAGAGATTATCAGATTACAGGAATGTAAACTGGTGAAGAGAAAAATCAGAGTTGTTCTTCTTGCCATGTCAGATGTTTTACATAATTTAATTTAATATTGTAAATTAAGATTTTATGCAAATACACTGACAATAGTTTTGCTTCGTTTGATATTGTAAAAACAAATTGAAGAGAATTTGAATTGAAAATTGTCATTTATTTTGATCTAATAAATGACGAGACAAATCATGCAAAAATACTAATTAAACAAAATGACAAACATTACACAATCATAAAAAAAACATATGCATAAAATTAACAAATACATTTTGTTAAGCCAATTATCATAGGTGGGGCATAAAAAATCGCCACCTTATTGTGTGTATGGTGAAACAATGAATAAAACCCACCCAAAACTATTGTCTTCAATGAATATGAGATATGATAACATTCACATATAGAATACGAATTACATTTGTGTTATACAAAAGTGCTTAAATGATGTACAAGTAATGGTCAGTATTTTCCTTTTAAGAATTGTCAGAGGCCCTTGTCCTCATGACGAAACTTTTCATATTATTCGTGCAGCAATTAGTAACAAAATGCTTTCATGCAAAGCTACATTATCCGATATGAAGTCAGAGGCCCATGTCCCCATGACCCAGTGTCAAATTCAAGTGACAACAAACTCTCAGCCATAATTCACTAGCAGTTGTGGAATCAGAGGCCCATGTCCCCATGACCCAGTGTCAAATTCCAAATGACAACAAACTCTTAGCCATAGTTCATTAGCCATTGTGGAATCAGAGGCCCATGTCCCCAACACCCAGTGTCAAATTTCAAAAGTCTGAAAGTCATTACCTACAGCAACATATATACAGATTAACCGAAAGGAACACTACTGTTCAAAAACCTGCTGACCTTCACCTATGCGTTCGCGAAGAAATAAAGGGGTGAAATACTAATTGATACTATTTGATCAGAGACCCATGACCCCATGATCAAATTGATCTAAATATGAAGCACAGGGATTCTTATGTACTTTTTAAAAGCGTCGGAATGCCATCTTCCCATTCGTTTAATTTTTTCCTCTGAAATCCCCATTGCTGCAGCGCATGTCGCAGCTCCTATTCGAAAACTGTGCCCCTTATAATGACTCGTATTTAGCCCTGCCCATTTAAGAGACATTTGCAAATAATTTGTAAAATGTTGTCTTAGTAATCCATCACCATTTGGATATGCAAACAAAGGGCCTGGTGACTGGCCTCTAACTTTAAGAAATAGCTGAATAGCCTGAACAGGACAAAATTGCTCTTCCGATTCGTTTCTTTGTAGAATCAACGTGGGGATATGTTTGCCTGCACTATGTTTGAAATTATCCATTGTAATCTCAAGAGATTCACCGGAATTTAGTTTATCCGAAACGAGTTTTACATTAGCCAGATTTAATACATTTTTAACGTTCGTAGAAGACGAAACTGTTATTTCACCAACCCTTAAAAAAGCATGGAAAGCCAGCAAATACATTGCTCTTAGCATACTGCATTGATAAGCTGAAATGCCTAACTTGTCCAAAGAAGTCACAAGCTGTTTCAGAATTGACGTTGTTATGGGCAATCTTGTGTCACTTCCTACAGTTTTGAACTTTTGATATCCCTGTAGCATTTTGCGAATCACAAATTGTTGTGATGGATCTTCAAAACTTTGAACTTTGAAATTATAACTAAGAGCCAAAATGTAAGTTTTCAAGGTTGATGCTGCGATATTACTTTGAAAACAAAAAGCTATAAAATGTGCCTAATGCTCAGTAGTAGGGGGCAGTAAAGAGACATTAGGAAAGTAGGTTGACATAAAGTCAGCGTAAAAAGCAAATATTTTTTCATAAGCTGTGATGAACTGGAATAATTTTAAAGGCATTTTCAATATCTGTCTTTGCAAACAAAACTTCCCTTCCAAGTTGTTTTAATAAATTAGTCACATCATCGATGGTTTGATATTGAACCAAGCAAATATCCTGCGGAATCCCATCATTTATAGATTGGCCCTCAGGATAAGATAAATGATGTATTACTCTAAATTCCCCTTCTTGTTTTTTGGGCACTAAACCTAATGGTGAATACTGAAAATTGTTAAATGGAGTATTTATGAAAGGTCCCGCTGCTCGACCACAACGTACCTCATTATTTATTTTTTCTTGAAGGATAGATAAATTTTGATCAGCTGATTTTAAGTTGTTACAAAACCTCAGCTCACAAACACCTTGAAAAGGAATTTAAAAACTCTCTGTAAAGCCATCAACTAAAAATGTTTTGTCACTCTCATTGTATTCTGATAGCCAATGTTGTAACCGTTGAGGGTTCACCGGAGTTAATATATCAAAAGGATTATTTCGTAAGTTTAAGGGTTGACTGTTTACTTTCTGATGATCCGATTTGAGAGGTTGATTTTTGCTTATTTTTGTTTGCTGCATTAGGGAATTTTGGGGTTGATGGGCAAGTTTTTTTACTGTGTTCTCCGCCACAGCGTTGGCATATGTTGGAGAATCTACAATCTTTTCTATAGCAAATTCCTTGTTCGGAATTATTGAAGTTGTAACATACGAGTTTATTGTTCCCTGTCCTCCCCTTGGTACCTGGAAAGGGACGAAAAGTAGGTTTTTGTGTTACTCCCTTTAACTTTGACTGCAAACCGGATGCCAATGCCTCTTGATACAATTCAGCGTTTAGTTGATTCCATGGGAGTTTGGTTGGAGACATTTTTCTCCATTGACGAAACGTTTTGTCGTAATGAATGGCTGCTGACGCAGTAGACTGGTAAGCAAGTTTTTGAACAATAGACGCATATTACAATCTTAAGAGGGGTGGATTTTTCCTTTACAAATGTTAAGCCATCATCATCCTCTTCGATGGAAAATTTTACTTGGTTTTCAGTTGGCTTTAGTAAAGTGCCAAAATCGACAAATTTCGTTTGCCCATATTTTTGATTTAATTTTAGAATCAATGCCTAAGGCTAGAGGTTTTGAAATACTTTCTGGGGCTTTAGGGAAAGTGTTTGAAATACCCAGATTAACCGTAGGCTCCACAGCGCTGACATTGGCCTCTTCCCCACTCTAAAGGACTTGGCGTTATAGCGGTGTCAGTACTAGTCTGCCGTTTGGATATCTCATCCATTACCGCCTTCGTAATACCAGGTATGGCTGAATGTATTGCGTTTTGGATTGTATCCACGATTTCCTGGTCCTTCGACGGTTCACTGCGTTTTGGTTGAGGCTCTGTTGGCTCCGCAGCTTTTGTCGCCCGACTCCTTTTTCTCTTAGGTGGCATGTTCCTACCTTGAATAAAATACAATACTTAAGTGATATCATACAAATCACATGCTTGTTGTAAACTCAAACCAACTTCCCGTCATAAATCTTCGCCTGATTACAGATCCGCTTGCTCTGGCACAATGAAGATGTACCAAGCGCTCGTGTAAACATGGCCTTTAAAAATGCCTGACAAGGAGATGATTGAGTCCAACATACATGTACATGTCTATACTCATCATGCTCACATTCATTGGTGAAAGCGCTCATACTCAATTGAATTCATTGAATAAAAGATTACGTCATAACTACTCAATGTACGCATATGCACAAGTGAGTAACTGAAAGTGTCTGCACACAAATCATATTTGTATCAGAACATATCGTACATTATCATAGTGCCCGAACATAGAAACATAATACACGTACGTACATACAAATACATAAAGTATGTGCCATAGCACATTCCAAACCGTACGTGTATCAACATATATATGAGATGCATTAGTGCCAGCTCACTGAGCAAACTCATACTTTCGGGAATGTACGTTTACAACTGTGCCAGCTCACAGTGTATCAGATACCAACATAAAATGTTACCACTTGTACCGTACAGAGTTTAAGTAACGTATTTCACATGACATTTTATATAATTGAGATTTCAAATACAATATACAGTAATTAAACGCAGACATTCTGATTATCATTCATGATTTTAAATCAGTGTCCACTAACCGTATAAATAAGAATAATCATTACATATTACAATTCATAATTTTGCTTGAGATCGTGCAGATGTTGAATAGACTTATCTTTTTTAGTTGCAAATGAACCTGAATGAAAAATGTGCTGCTTATGTTGACGGACCATAGATGTCCCTGCTACACAATCTTATTTTAAACATTGGATAATTGCCCCACGCAAGTTTCTGTAGTAAATTCGCATGCCTCATTCGTTGTTTAGACGGACTCCGTCGCAAAATACTGGACGCTCGCTGTTTTTGACACCTTTTAGATTCCAGTACTGCAAACAGTTTTTTCCTACCAGCTCCCTCTTCAATACTCTATTGAATTTTATTACTAGTTCATTATAAATATTTATATCTAATACCCGCGTCCGATATCTCGGCATCAGTTGGCAAACAATTGTCTCTTTAATGTTGAAACGACGGGCAAATGTTTCCGCAATACAAAGTCGTAAACATAACTCATAAGCGTATGTTTCATCAGCCGAAGTTGTGTCCAGATCGTTACCACCTAAATGTAAGATGAGGAAGTCCGGAGAAACTTGCCTAAGTTTTTGTTCTAATGCCTGCAAGTGGAAATTATTTGTCAGCTTTCCTCCACTTATACCATAAAATGCAACAAAAATGTTTGGATTTAAATTCAAGTTCTGAAATTCTCGATTTTAAATTTCTAGTCTCTCAATGTTAAAAAAAGACAAACGAATGGAGATTTTGTCAATCTCTGGAAAAAATAATATAACAAATGTAGCCCTTTAATTCGGTCAATCCATAGATATATATGTGAAGTCGATATATATATATATATATATATATATATATATATGGATCGACCTCATCGAAGGGCTATATTTATATACTATTATTGTGGACCATTTGAACAAATACATTAATAATGTAAAATAAAAAAGGGTGGGATTTTTAAGCTAAGAGACAAACTACACCCACCTCTCAATGCAACTGTAACAAATATTGTGACGTCAAAGATTAACAGCAATAACGTCATCTATAGCAGGGCATTACGCGCACAAATCCACGGCGCGGATCTGAGATATAGTAGTAACCATCGCTATAATAATTGGATTTATTTCGTAAAGGAAATAAATCTTATTATTAAAGACGATGAAGACAAATATAATTTCTTAAAATCATTTATTTATATAGAGAAAATTCAACACCACCAAAAGTTAATAATTATTTATTTGTATGTGGTGAGTATTGTCGTGGCATTATGCGTGGGTCGCCGCACAAATCAACACAACATTGGCAGACCCACTTCAACATCAACAACAAATCAATCAATCAATCAATCAATCAATCAATCAATCAAATTCAGCAAATATAAACAAATTGACCGCCCCGGGTAATCCGCGGACGGTTACTTTGTTAATCTTTACTAATTTACATCAGGGACCTATATACTAAGTATATAGGCCCCTGTTTACATACACAATCTGCAATAATTATTTAATACAAAATGCAGTTTTTCTCCAATTTATCAAACCCAGTCACACAGCAATGCAGTTTGCATCAGCACAACATTTTCACTTGATCAGTGTCAACCATTAGTCAACAATTATTACCCATTCAGAGTACTTAGTTAACATATCAGTTGACTTTAGTGTGCGCATACGCCTATGCCACGACGTTCTGGACGGATCCTCCTAGACTTCCGCCGGTTATTTGTATGAGGCCGTATAAACCGAGGTCCCATGTCGCAGTAGGTGCTTGCTGGCACGAAAAGTTCCCTCACTGCTCAACGGCCTCCAGCGTCAAGCAAAGGACAAAATATTGCAGCTTTCCATCGGCTAGCGGCGGCACCCCACATTATTGAAATATTCTCGAGAGGGACGCTAAACAACTTGCAATCAACCATGCCGTCAATCCAAGATTTCCGCTTTGGTGTCGTCTATCCAACGCTGTCTTGATGGTACCAGTTCATCCACATCAATAAGGCTCAGACCATCGTCCTACAAATTATAACAACACAGCAGTACCACTTGTCTTTACAAATTATATTGATAATTCTTAAGCATTTCTCAGCTAATCTTTTTATCTCAATTGCATTTAGAAAGTACAATGCATTTTTGTCACTAAACTCCCAACACATTTTATGAATACTTCTACCAGAATGGGATGGATGGGTGGGCAATTAACATTTCTTAAAAGCCAATCCGGCATATTTTTACCAATCTAAACTCTTGATTAATCTGTGACCTCTTTCCTGTTCAGCAACCCGGTATAAAAGGAAGCCCAAACCCGATCTTAATTCTGAAGTCTGCATATCATACATCAAACCCGATTTCTTTTCTCATAAAATAAATGCATCTTTTTTATATTTCAAATAGATGGTATTATTTTTTATTTGGCGATTGTGGCCACAACCTACATTATACAATGTATACTTTATCAACCGTTATAACATAACTCCTTATAATCCCTATCCTTATAAATCTTATATCCTTATCCTTATAAACCTTATATCCTTATCCTTATAAACCTTATATCATTATCCTTATAAACCTTATATCCTTATCCTTATAAACTTTACATTCTTATCCTTATAAAGTCCTGAAGATTTGAAAACTGAAAACATTCAAGCTGGTACTGGGTTACCAGATACTCAGCAGAAGTTGTAAAAAAAAAATACTTGAATCATGGAAGGCGTCTCGAAAAACCGCCAAATGGTTGTCCGTTGAAAATGACAACCACCGCCAACGAAGTTAGGTGGAATGAGAGACGCAAAAAAATGTGTAGGCGTGGCCACATCTTGAAGCTCAAACTTCATATTTAACCTTTTATAGAAAAACATTCTTGTAATGCCCTTTGTAAGTTGTATAGCAAGAAACAATTACCGAAATACGACAGGTGAACTCCATCACTACTAAACATTTCATTTGAATCCCAAGTAATTTCTGGGTATTTGAGAAAGAACCCACCATTGACAGTAACTAAGTGATTCATAAAATTATTGAGTCTAACAGTAGCAAGATTTTAAGATTTTGAGTTTGAACTAAAACGCCATGAAATTCTTGGCAAAATATTGGACCAATCAATTGTTGTGTTGGGGAGTAGCTCCTTTTTTTGAGTGTTGAACACATATTGGACCGTGGTTGCAACAATGGAATTTTACCGATATCATTCCCTCCACAATGAATAATAATAATGAGATTTCTGGAGGTGATTCATAACGTAACAAAAGATTTATTTTTGGAATGAGGTCAAACCATTTCATACCTCCCTTTCGCTGCAAAAAATATTCTGTAATTTCTTCGTTTTAAACCTAAATCCACACCATCAAAGGATTTTCCTGCATAGTAGAATGCCCATTTAATAATTGAAGAACCAACAATCCAAATAACCTTTTCATCTCCTATATAAAATATGAAAAATTCAATCAAGGACATTACTAAATCCTAATATACCTTTTGAAGGCATCTGAACTCCATCTACCTTGCTTTTTGGGAGTTGAACTATGTTCAATCTCCCATGGTCATCACCCATTTAACATGCGCAGTAATTTGTGTTGATTATATAGAGCCGAATGCGAGGCTACTGTGTCGACCGATTTACTCCGATGATATTCAACAGAAAACATGCATAAACATCCGCCACAAATAGTTCATGTCATTTTCTCTTGAATTGATCTAATTTTCATAATGTAAATATACGTACTGGTAAAGTAATCTTATTTTGAATGTTAGATTTCGTTCAAAGTAAAACTAAATTATAAAGAACCTCAAAAGTTTTTCGTAATGGAACTCGTTTTTAGTGTAGCGTTATACACTGAAAGAGATACGAACGATAACTCTACATAATGACGGCAAGCGGTAAATCTAGTCTTCCCGACACCCGACGGTACCGGATTTTTAGCAATTTCTTTTTTACCGGTGCACAGAATTTATTCAAACTTTCCATGAACATTTTCTTAGTTTAATTGAATTCATTAATGCATAAAAACTTTAGAAAACCTGCGTATTTATTACTAAATCAGCAGTATCACCTGCCAGAAGCGGTAAATTTAGTACTCTGTAATAAATGTTAAAACCAAAAACGGACATCGATGTTTTCGTAAAATCCCGATTAAAAAAAACAAAATGAAGTATATCTTTTTTTTTTAATAAAAGGAAAACCTCATTTACATACCAGATAATTTGTACAGTGGCTGGAACGTTATTGTTGACAACTTACACGAAAGATCACGTTACACGCACGATTCCGCACGATAAACGCACGATTAAACCTGATACACGAACGATCTTTCACGTTCACTCTACACGTTACACGATATACACACTAACGCACGATGTTATTGAATTGATATTTTCAAAACGAAATAAAATATTATCAATAAATATATTTATCATCACCTTTGAAAAAAAAAACCCAACAGATATGGGTATTTTTGGTACTTAATACATTAAGATTTCTTTTTTTATTTTAGATAATAAATAATTATTTAAATAATTCTCCGACATAAGAAAACGGATTTTTTTGTTCTATTAAAATTTGATTGAATTGGATTTCATAATATGTAGAATGGGGGATACGATTTGGGGAAAAAATAAGTTATATCTATATTTTTTCATTACTTCAAAATGTTTATGAATCTCTAAAACATGAAAAACGACAGTGGAAATTATTGTTTTACTTTAAAATTAATTAAAAGTACGCTACAGAGATAAACACTGTTAAACAAAACCCCGAAAATCATGTACGTGAATGCATTTATATTTATGTTAGCTTTGAAAAATATTTATTTATTTGTAAAAATATTTTTTTTTATTATTTGAAAAATTAAAAAAAAATATTCTTACCACAATTAGCAGAAAACAAGAATGATCTTCAGTAAAATATAGTAAAATATCTTAGTACGGTATATCACAATAAGTCACGCTATTTGACGAGAACATTATATTGTACGACTTACTATATTGCTTGTTTACAAGCAAAAGTTAGTTCGTTCCGCATTCAATTATGTAAACTGCGCTTTATTTCTTTTTATTTGGATTAAAAAATAATATATAAACGAAATACTTGTTTCACACATAACATTCCGATAAAAACTTACAAAACGAAATTTACAAGTTTCTAAACGCACGTTCACACACGATTAAAACCGCAAACGATTGAGTCTGTTACACGCACGATCTCGCACGTTACACGAACGATCACGCACGATGCACGAACGATTCTACACGATTGGTTTGTCAACAATAACGTTCCAGCCACTGTAAGCACACAAACTCTCACATATACCACTATTTTTATGTTTGATCATAAAATATTTGTTTTTAACTTGGTATTGCTTTTTTTCCCCACAATATTAAAAAAGATTAGGTTCTGACGTACTCCATGTAAAATATCCGTGTAATTGAAATACATCTATATTCACAGAGAAGTTTTATATCAAACCTGATAGTTCTTAAAAGGATGCCGTGTTAAAATCCACATTTTATCAACATTGATATTATTCCTGCGAAACTTAAATTTTCATAACACATGGGTAAAGGTGCTGAGGAAAAATATATATTACAAATTTGAAGACTGTGAGTTATATAAATGATCAACCGCCTCTAATATGAATATAATGGCAGTGTCCATGTTTTGCAAAGGGAAACCCAAAATATGTGTAGGATGAAAATTAAAGCAATAGAAGGTGTACAACGGCAATATGTAATAAAGATTCTATGAAAATTTCGTTCAGTGGTGTAAGAGGAGTTGCGGATAAGAGATGGTTGTACCTAAAGCGTAAGAAACAGATGGACGGAAATCCCGATTAATAAATACCCTCCCGCTTTTCAAGTAGGGGGTATTAAAAAGGACTAATGTAGGCAGACAAGCATTATGGCCCATGCATTTTTTTTTGCTATCTAATGTCTCTGAATGTACTGTCTTTCTCAAGATTGTTGCAACTCAAAAAATCTGAAACAGTTGTCTGTATTTGAAATAATAATAATAAGATTGTTCACTCACATAACCTCCCGATCAAATATTTTATTTTACATCATGTTCAACTCCCATGAGTGCTTTCTGTTTCTGAGTGACCGTAAGAGAAACCATCTTACGCGGCACCAATACAGAAAGAGTGAGACTTGTACTCTGAGTTTGGAAGACCGGCTATTTCGAGAGACTTATTTAATACTGAACAGAATTGAAACCTTGTTAGAGGACTACCATCCATATGTTTAAATAATGGATGGATTCTTCCAGCTATCTGGCCAACCAAAATATGCCCATGAAGGTAAACGCCGCATCCTAAATGTTGATTACCTGCACTGTCGGTGTAGAGATGAAGTTGGTCATTAGACAACCAATTAACAGTCATGAAATTTAAACTGCCATTAAACCTGCAGTGTATAGAATCTAACCACACAAGAAGGTCAGATTTCATTTCCTTTGTTACCCTAATGAAATGACTTGGGTAATTTATTCCACACATAGCATCACAAAATCTTCTATTAAAGGCCCTAGCAGATGGAATAGCTTTAGCACAAAAATTAAGAGACCCTGCCAAAGATTGTAATTCTCTCAGCGTAACTTTTTTTGGTAACATATCAAGCACTGATTTCTCCAGATTGATAATTTTTTCTTCAGGAATTCGAATAACCATTTTATCTGTATCAATTTCTATACCAAGGAATATAAGTACTGATTTTGGCCCCTCTCTTTTCACTTCTGCAAGAGAGATACCAAAAGCAGAGCAGGTATTTTTGAATGAAAACATCAACAAGTTACATGTTTCTAACGTGCCCCCAGCAAATATGAAATCATCTAAGTAATGTTTCAATGTATGAACTCCAGTTTTTACTTCTACTACCCACTGAATAAAATATGCAAACTTTTCCCATAAAGCACAACTTATTGGACAACCCATTGGTAGACACATATCGTAATAATATTGATCATTGAACTTGAAACCAAGTAATTGATGGTCAGAAGGGTGAACCGGCAGTAATCTAAAAGCTAATTTTACATCCATTTCTCCAAGATAAGCCCCTTTTCCTAGTGACCCTACCATGTCTAAAAACTCATCAAAAGAAGTGTATTGAACAGAACAAGCTTCGGGTTCTATGAAATCATTAACACTAAAAATAGAAGGATATGAAAGGTGGTGAATGAGACGCCAACCCCTATCCTTTTTTGCCAATCCAATAGGTGATAGCCTTAAATTGGACAAAGGTTCTTGATTGAAAGGACCTGCTATTCGACCCAAAGAAATTTCTTTGTCAATTTTTTCTTTTACCTCTTAGGATGCTCATTCACAGAAACTAAATTTTTACAGGTTGTTGACACTCTTGGACCTTCATAATGTAGATAAAAACCTAATTCAAACCCGTTCTTTAATTCATTAGCAACAGTTTGATTTGGAAAAATTGACAGATAAGGACACATATTACTCAAGTTAGTTGGTGTTAAACTTGTTCTTACGAAAGGAACCTGTTGAATATTTGCTGCCTGACTGCATGACGAAAAATTGAGAAGGGGGCTTGAAAAGCCCTAGAGGATGATGTCCTCTGTACCGCTTGTTTATCAGGACAATGAATTGCAGGATGTTTGTTTTGACACTTTAAACACTGGTGTTGATATTGATAATTTTGCATGCGACAAGAGCCTTTGTTGTCACTACTAAGTCAAAAACGTACTGACACTCCCATTTTTTACTGACAAACTTAGAAAATTACTGACAATGTGCTGTCGTTACTGTAAAACTTAGACAATTACTGACCTTTTTACTGCCGGTGCTGACAAACTTAGATAAGTGCTGACAATCTTAGTCGGTGCTGAAAAACTTAGACAATTACTGACCCATTTACTGTCCTTGCTGAAAAACTTAGACAAGTGCTGACATTTACTGATAATTACTGTCCCTATTGTTCTCACTCTCGGGGAGGCTGCAGTGGTGTGGAATCGATTTTTTTTATTTTAACATAGATTATTATTTCATTTTTTTGTTTTTTCATATAATTTTTAACTATGTCCAGATGATATCTTTGAAAAAAAACTTCTTTGATCGATTTATAGAAAATTGATTTTTTTAAAAATATTTTCAAGAGAAGGGATAAAATTTCAAAACCTTCAAAAAGATAAGCAATTAAAAAAAATAAAAATCTTCCTTTAGTAGTGAGATATGGAATTTTACAGAGGTGTTTTCTTTTTTGTAATAAAACAATGTTATTACATGACATGCCTTTTATAATATTTTCTTAATTAACATTGACTCCCTGACTTTCTTTAATATTAATTTAAAGAATAAAACTGTTAGGTTAGAAGTGTTTTATTCGATGTTCATTTAATTTATTCAAATTAGTTTGAATAATTTTAATAAACTTAAAGCGCGCGGTGAGGCCGTGGGTGCCCCTTTTTGAGGAAAGGCGTTTGTTATAGTTTTCATATTATGTAAAAATTTTAATTATGTGGAGGCCGCCAGTATTTGTTTTTGTGCAGTCAAACATACCCGAATCCAAGCACTTGCAAGAAGAAACCAAAATTAAAAGACAGACGGGGGATTTAAATTAAAAAAAGACGACTTTTTATTTTATTCATTGGGCAGGGGGAGGGGGGCTACGGGCCTGCATTGATCATTGATCCTTTGACATTCATTGATTTAGTTACTGTCCGCATTATTCTTTTGAAATAATGTACATCTTTTAGCTGATTTTTGAATCTAGATTTTCTGGATCCCCACTTGAAAGTGTTATTTTCATTCAAATACATGTAAAACTATGACATTTTATATTATCATCTTTTGTCTATGCATACTCCTGAAACAAAACTTTGATAGAAATTAATATCATGTTCTTTTCAATTAGAGTGTCGGTAGACGTTCACATGGATCTAGTTTCTTTTCAAATTTAAATGGGGGAGGGGGGCAAGTGCGAACTAAATTTAGAACAATGAACATGTAATTATTTATTTTACTAAAGTAGAACACACAATGAATACTGTCGTGTTTAACTTTGTACTCATTTTTATCTGTTTAGGTAAAAAAAAAATAATAAATTTAACTAGATGCTGTCATGAGACAGTAATACCCGCACTAAGGTGTTTGCCTCTAAATACATGCTCATACATATTGGGCGGCTTTCCAAAGAAATAGTCAAAAGAATTCTATAATTTACATGTTTTCATCAAATTAAGTATGAAATTCTCAGACCCTGTGACCTATAACTCAGAACCTCTTATATTTATTTTATACTTGCTTAATTCATTATATACCAGTCTGAATTTTATTAATGATGTAAATTCATGCACAGATCTGTCGGGGGGGGGGGGGGAAGGTTACAATGGACCCCCCCCCCCCTTGGAAAATGCAGACCCCCCCCCCCCCTGGTAAACACGAATATGTGTAAAATAGGTATGAAAAGTTAAACATTTGCGGCAATAGAAGTCACCACTACCCCCACCCCACCCCCCACAATATATAGGTTTTTGACGTTTAGGATTTTTTTTTGACTGAGGTGGACCCCCCCTCCCCGGAAAAAAATTTTGGATCCGCGTCTGAAATTAGATTTTGATATATGTTTTGCTCATAATAGGACCTTTTTTTAATTTACTAACCCCCCCCCCCCCCACTCGACACCACAATCACACAGCACATACTTTTTGGAATAGGCTAGATGGAAAAGGTTTGTTAAAATTTAATATCGTTTGTTATGAATTAATTTAAAATTTGTTCTTGTACATGTGAACATGTAAATTTCTACATCACATCACGTTGCGTCACCCATTATCATATTTATAGATTAAACACCATTTGGCACACCTCGGCCGATACCCACTTCATCTGATAAGGTGATGGAATCGACGAAGGTTTGCCAAAATGGCACATGGGTGCAGTCTGGTGTGCATTGGATTAATTCATTTTGTGTTATAATTGGATTTAGTTGACGAGACACAGGGAGTCGGTAAGTAGAAGTTTTAGTATAGTGGGGGGTAAAATACACCCAAACGATTAGGTTAAAGTTTAAAAAGGGTCAAAGATCATCATATTTCATATTGTGAAATTATCTCCCGTTGTCGATGTGACATTCAGCTACTGCCAATACTGGTGCGGATCCAGAATTTTTTTCGGGTGTAGGGAGGGGGGTTCACATCTCAGTCAAAAAAATTCCAGCCCAGAATTTCGTGACAAGCAGGAGAAAAAAAATGAAAACAAAGAAACAAATAAAAAAACAATGATAGTGAGGTCAATGTTTTCTAAGTTTATAGGGAGAGGATGTCAAGAGTCATTTTTTACTTGCTACAGTATATAGTCTTGTTTAAATAAAGCAAATGCCAGATGGGGGGGGGGGGGATTCCAATCTTCCTACCCACTTCCTGTCCCTGAAATAACAATGTATTTTGTGATTCCAGTTAAATAGTATATTTTTTTCCATTTGACTAATTATTATACATATTTTGTTTCTTGTGTTTATAGTATGTCTGTCTATAAGTCTGCAGAAATTAAATCCTAGCTAGCTTGCCCATAAGTTTTAAGTGGGATGGGCTATACAAATAGCTTCCACATTCTATAGGTTTATTTCTTGTGACAATTTAATAAGACCTTTTATTTGGGTACCATTAATTTACCTCTGATCGCTTGACATGGGATACACATTTTTACAAGAAAAATACCAAACTTTAAACTCTGCCTAAATTTTGATCAGTAGGTGCTAGACTGCTAGGGCTTTCATACTTATCATGACATATTGTATTCATTGTGAACTGTCAACAGGTATAAATATGTTTGACCTTGACCCTAGAGTTTGAACCACTTAAACAAAAAAATTAACCTTGGCAATTAACTTTTGAACAGGAATTACTAGGGATTTCTTTATTTCACATGTGCATTCCTTGTGACAAGACTTTCTTCTGATACTAACAATTTGAACCCTTTGACCTTGACCTTTGATTTTGACATATATTTGAGAAACTTCAACCTTCGCCATAGGCTTCCATACTGGGACATCAGTGTTTCACAAACACATCTTATCTTCATTATTATTTGGTGGTGTCTCCATATGAGGGAAGATGTATTCACAACAAACAAACAAATCACTAAAGAAAATATAAAACATGAATATGTTGGTCATGCATATCTCTGCAGGAAAAAAAACAGCTTTTCAAATACTCCAACCATATTGTAACCCTTTCAAAACACTCATTTGAGCTTTTTTAGTTTCCTTAGCATATAATGTCTGTCGTGACGTGTTGTCCATCTGTTTGTCTGAAAACTTTTTACATTTTTAACTTCTCTAGAACCACTGGGCCAATTTTACCCAATTCATATAGAAATATGTACATTTAAATTGTATGTCAGACTCAGTCCATCTGACTCAATAAATTTAACCTTGGTTATCACGGTCATATCTACTGAATGAGAAGAGACATTCATATTAAACTTATGTATTAGTATATTTATTTATTTATATGCATACATGTATTTATTAGTATATTATGAGAATGGCATGTTTTTTTGTTTTTTTTTTTACATGTGACCTAGAAGTTTGACCAACTTGAAAAAAAAAATTAAATTGTTATAAATTCATCATTTTGAAAGAGAAAAGTTAGGGCATTCATATCATAATGCATGTATATTATTACCTGTGATAAGACCTTTCCAAATAAATCATGACTTTTACACTGTGACCTTGACCTTGAAGCAATCAAGCCTAACCTACTTTTCAAAAATGTTGCATTTGCTTATAACTTTTGATTGAGATGAGATATGACTCTCACATTTGACATGTACATAAATTACTCATAAGAATTCAAGGTGTTTCCCAGCATGCGATGTTTTTTTATGCGCCCGAATTTTTTCGGGGCGCATATTGTTTTTGTCCTGTCTGTTATAAATCTGTTTGTCTGTTGTCAACTTTAACCTTGGCCAAAACTTTTGAACCGTAAGAGATAGAGACTTCATATTTGGTATGCATACTCCTCTAAGAAAGTTCTTTCAAATGACATCAAGGTCAATGACCTTGTGACCTTGACTGTGACCTATATGCTAAAAATAGTTTTTTCAACTGTTTGTCATAA